CTGCTGTAGCCTAGCCTTTGAGAAAACTTCTGCAGGACACACCTTCTTCGGTTTGTCAGAACATTGGCCCCAACCGAAGGCTCTGAGGAAGAGGGAACCTGGGCTCCCGGGACCAACTACACAACCGGCTGCTAGAAGCCGAAAGGGACCGGAGACAAATGCGAAACCGAGCGCGGGGTTCGCGGCGGCCAGGGCTCATAGCACAGCACCTCTTAACTGCAGGACGAGGCAGAGACCTTTGCATCGTTCCCTAAGTCCGGCGGCGCGCAGACTTTTGGGAAATAGAGTCCGAGCAGGGATCCGCGGGCTTCCGGCGGCGTCTTGCGCATGTGCGGTTCTCCCTGCGTGCGTGCTCACGCATGCGCCTCGCCGCGGCATCGCCCTGGCTTCCTGTCCGTCCAGGTGACCGCCCTGGTTTTCTGTCTAGGGCCTCTGGTGACTAGGACCGCGGAGTCTGCGGGGTGATCGCCGAAGGGCGCAGGCTGTGTGTCCCGGAGTCCCCCCCTGGCTCGACCGCTACCTCGAGGACCGAGCTCGCGGCGGAGGGCCCGAGGGTCAAGCAGCAGCAGTGGCTGCAGAGGGGCTGCGCGACCCGGGCCGGCGCTCCGCGGCACGGTGAGTCCTGCGGGGCGGATCTGGGTCCCGGAGGGAGGCGCGGCCCGAGGTTGTGCGTTAGGTCCAGCCCCGACTCCTTAGGAGCCGAAAGGCCTGGCGAGGGCGAGGGCGGGGATCCCGGAGCTTTAGAGACCCACGGGGACCGCCCGCGCCCGGGATCGATGCTGTGCAGCTCTAGGAGGGACAAGGCGCTCGGTGGGTGGGTCTTTGAGGACAGTGTACCTGAGGAGGAGTGGACACCGGCCTCATCTGGGATTTCTGGCTGTACTCCTTTCTCCACCCCGACTCCCTTTCCTCCTCCTCCTTGTAGTGCTCCAGATGTCTCTAAAGGTCCATCAGCAACGCTGTTCCTTACAGTTTGCTTCTTAGTTCTGCCTTTGTAGAGTCATGCAGTGTGAATCCAGAAAAGCCTTTTACTGCCTCGTTTGATAGAGGAGGACATAATGGATGATTTGACAAAGGTTACCCCGGTGTTTTTAGGCACTTCTAGGCCTAGCTCCTTCCACTGTATTAAGTTACAGTACATTTCTTAATAGGATATTTTTTTGAGCAGGCCACTCACATTTGTATGATTAAAGTCCCAACCATGGTGACTGTATTTCTTTAGTCAGAGAATTTCATGAATTTTCTGATCTTAAGTAGTTTGAAAAGTAAGAAAGTAAATGAGTTTTCTATAGCAGAATTTCTTTTTTTTAAGCTTACATTTAAGGATAACACATTATTTCAATTAAATTTGATGTTAATTCACACTTATTCATATGTGTGGGTTGCGAACATATAGGTAGGCACCATTCTGAGTATTTTCCAATCCCTTCTGAAAAGGCCTAATGAGACAGTCTTCCATAGAGTGTCCTCAGAACTTTCTGGGTAGGTTTTTATGCAGGAGATTCCTGCTGTGACAGGTCAGATAACTTATAATGACGCTGCTTGCATTTTTCTTTCCCAGATCCGCCTCTGCTTTCACAATTCTCCATATTTTTTCAAGAGCAGCAGAACATGAGTAAATCCTTGGTGAGTTTTTCTGTTCATGTGTTTATTCTGTCCTTTTGTTTACTCCTTCTGAGGCAAATAAGAGTTGCAACTTCAAAACATGAAAATAGAAAGAGTCAAGATATAATCAAAATGGTAGCAATCAGCACTCAGCAGTTTTGCTATATTCATATGTGCAGATAGCATGATCCCTAAAGAGTTCTTAAAGTCAAAGTACATGTATGTCTCCTATTTTTGGCAAAAAAAAATTTATAAATATCGTACATTCCTTGACTTACATTGACCATAAGTGAGATGTTTCCTTTCTCGTGGATTTAAAAGATTTCTTTGATAATTGTGAATAACCTTCCCAAATAACAACCTGTAAGCTGCTGCCACTGATACCTTACTTTTCTGTCATGTGAGCAGACAGCATAGTGCCCAGGAAGAACTCGGCACACACGATCTTTCTGGTGACTAAAACTTTGCCATACGGACATTTTGCTCCATGCAGGGATAAAGCCTGGATCAGCTGGAGGAATGGCTTCACCCTTAAGTGAGTCTAAGCAGTTCTTTCTGCAGGTTTGACTGGGTTGCACAGCAGACAATGCAGTAGAAATCCCTGGCAAAGGTGTCCTCATTTTCCATTCCCATTTTATCCTGCCTCCCACGGTCTCCATTCTGTGCCTGACACTTCCCTCATCCTGTTCTGGTGAAGGTTGCCCGTGACCTAATGTACACTGAGTATTTCTAACATGCACATCCAGGGCTAATTGCCCATCATTGTCTTAGACACTCTGCAGTCTCCCCTGTCATTTTTTATTCCATTTATTTTGTTTTTGAATCTGAGGAGTTCTCCTCCCTTCTTCACATATTTTTCTTTTGTTTATAGCTTATGACTCTCCTTACTCCTGTCTAATCTCACCGTCCAGTGCTTTAACCATGAGTCCATGTTTGTTCCCCAAGGGGATCAGATGCCTCTGTCCAGCTGCCTTCAGAGAATCTCCCTGGGGTGTGTCCAGAGAGTACCTCAAGTTTATAGATGCAGTGGATCCCCAAATCATCATTTTTGGCCCCCCCACCTATATGTCTCCTATTCTTGCCCCTACTTCTTCATTGAGGCATTGTTCATCCTGTGACCCTGTCCAGAAAAAATGGGATCCCTTAAATTTCTCCATCTCTGTTGCCTTGTGCAGTTGTTCCAGCATGTTAATTTCATATTCTAAGTGATTTTTATCCTTTCTCCTTACTCTCTCCCTGCCACCCTTATCACATTTTGCAGGAGGGTGTTTTGGGACTCTTGGAGAAACTCCCTTTCTCTGCTTCTACATCTTTCCTTCACTGGCTCAAATGCACTTTCTGCCTTGAGTATTTCTCCTGAAACTTTAATTTGATCAGGCTGTGTGCATGTGGAAAGCTCTTCAGAGGCTCCCTGAGTGACTAGGAAAACAAGGTTTCTGTTAAACTGGAAATGGGGAGATGGTGGGGAAATCAGGTTTGAGAAAATTAGGTTTTAGCCATTTTTAATTGATTCTGTTAGCATGAGGTAAAGTGGCAATAGCAAGAGTGCAGGACGTGTTGGGACTTTAGGAGACAGACTGGACTGGGAGTCAGGAGACAGACTGGACTGGGAGTCAGCATAGAAAGCTGTGTTGGGAGGTGGACAAGGGGGTGAGCCCAGGACTCTCCCATATGCAAAGTCTGCTACCGAAGGAGGGACTGGGTGGGGCAAGATTGAGAACTGGGAGCATGAAGTTTCAGAAACCAGGGAAATGAAAGGTTTGTGGGTGGAAAAGCAACTATGTCAAATTCTACTCATAGTTAGTTAAACCTAAAGACTGAACTGGCCATAGGATTCAATTCTGGGGAGATCCTCTGATTTCTTGAGAATTTGTTTAGCTGGATCTGATTTGATTTAAGAGAGTGGTAGAATTTGATTTGGTATATTCCTGAGTTTGTTTTTTTTTTGTGTGTGTGTTGTTTTTTTTTAAGTGGGGAATTTGGACCCAAAATTTTTGGGGGAAAGAGAAATTGGCCAGTAACTAGAGTAGGAGTTGAGGTCAAAATAGGATTTTTGTTTTGTTTTGTTTTTATGGGAAGAATAAAAAAGTGTATGATCCACTAAAAAAGGAGAATCTTTGATGCATGTAGGAGAGGGGTACACGGCTGGATGGTGGGGGGTCCTTGAGTCAGTGAGAGGGGACACGTTGCAGGCTTGCGCTGTAGGTGTTCTGGGTGTTCTGGGTGTTGTTCAGTGGTGGGGGTAGGATGTGACATTCCTGTGTGCTTCTGTCTTCTAGGAATTAGCTCATGAGCTAAGAGGGTGAGGCATCAGGTTTAGGGGGAGAGCAGTCCCAGACTGAGGGAGCACACAGGGTCAGCCATCTGACTTCCTGGTATCTTCCTTCCTTTGCTGGAAAAGTCATTTCATTTCTTACAGTGTGGGTGTAGTATGGTCTTTGGGTGTTCCTGTCATTGCCTGATGCTTCTTAGCTGGATGCTGTGGAGACCAGTCCTGCCCCCACAGACACTTTCTCTCCTCTGTTTCCCGAAGGATTTCCAAAGGCAGCTTCCTGCTTACCTGGGCCTGCTTTTCTGGCCCTTTTCCTCATCTAGTATTTTGTCTCTTGACTTCAGCTTTGGGGATGGGGGTATAAGAGGCACTTCTTAGCCTTGAGGACCCCAGATGCTCCTTTGAGGAACAATCCATAGAGTAACTGGTAGCAGTAAAAGGGGTCTGTGTTCAATGCCTGGGAAACAAGTGATGGCAAAGCAGAAGTCATGTTTATTGTGTTGTCAAGGTGCCATTTCTGTTATTCACTGAGGGGAAAGTCTCAGGGGATGTGGAGGAATTTCCATGGTGGTAGTGTGACCGGGCTTTGAGGAGTCATAGAGGTCAGTCAAGGGGTTTAGGAGACTGCATGGGTGCCCTGAGCAAGGCTTCCGGAGGACCAGTAACAAGTTTCACTTCCAGAGCCAAGAATGAAGGTAAATACTGAGACTGACGAAAGACCTAACAGTGCTGTACCAGGTTTGGGTTTCATCCTTCATAGAATTTGAAACCTATTAATTGGGAAAGTGAGTCATCTGATAAAAGGATGTAACAAATAGGCTGAGATGTGTAAAGGATGCCATGAGGGGGTTCTGGGGGCACCTCACAAGGGGGCTCGGATTTCTAACTAAGGTGCCAGATGGGGAATGTGACGGTGTTTCCATGACCCCAGACCCAGGTATGTCAGTCTGCTGATGTTTTTCTGAATCATGAGTGGGGTTATACATTTGTTATAGCTGATGATTTTGTATCAATACTTTATTATTTTGTAAAATGAGCCAGGTGCAGTGCTGTGGTGCAGGTCTGTAGTCCCAATTATCCCAGAGGCTTCTAGTTCAGATTTTTTTTTTTTTTTTTTTAGTGAGAGAGGAGAGAGAGAGAGAGAGAGAGAATTTTTAATATTTATTTTTTAGTTCTCGGCGGACACAACATCTTTATTGGTATGTAGTGCTGAGGATCAAACCCGGGTCGCACGCATGCCAGGCGAGCGCGCTACCGCTTGAGCCACATCCCCAGCCCCTCTAGTTCAGATTTTGACAAAATGTATATTGTGGTATCCACTGTCCACTGTCAGGTTCATGCAGAGCAGTTACAGTGTCCTAAAATCCTATGCCCCATATTATCTCTCGCTTAGTCCTACTGTCAACTCCTGTTAACCACTAATCTTTTTACTGTTTCTATGTTGTTGTCCCTTCTTGAATGTCAAAACATGGAACTGTACAGGAGCCTTTTCAGACTTGCCCATTTATGTAAAATGCCTACTCATAACATCCATGCAGATCTTTCTATTACAAGATTACTTTATTTTGCTTTTTTCTTGTTTACTGAGTACTCTTGGGCATTTTTAAATTTTTCCAGTTTGGTCATGTTGGTAAACATTTTCTTCCAAGTTGATCGTCTTTATATTTCATTTTCCAGCATTACCATATATTCTTAAATATTTTCATTTTGAGAAATGGAGTATTTTACCTTTTTTAACATTTCTCAGAATGAGAAAGCTTGCATGGATGGGCTTTCCAGATCCAGAGAATCCTCTCCTTCAGTGTTCCAGTGCAGGATCTTAAACAGGTGACATCAGTGGTGGGATTGGGAGGGGTTTGTTTTGTGGTTCTCATTTCTGGGAATCTTGACCTTCCCTCCCTTTCAGTGCTGCATGTGATATGTTCCTTGGATGGGGTGTAGATGGCATACTGACCGACTCACTCTTGAATCTGTAAAACTGAGAATGTTTGGCATGATGTACAAGAGCATGCTTGTTGGTTGGGCAGACCCCAGTTTGCAGTCCTTTGGCCTTGGGAAGGTTAAGCTGTTCTTTCCCCATCTGGTTCTCAGTGATACACACGAGATCACTGACCTTTAGAGGCAACCAAGCTAACAGGCCATTTGTTGAAGTTCTCTTGGTCTGTTTCATTTTACAGTCTTGAGGAATATGCATTTTCTCTCATTGTTTACTTAGTGGAGTTCCAGTGCTTCACCTTGAACTCCTATTCTCCCCAGCCACTCCCAGAAGGAGTCTCAGAGAGGTAAGGAGAAGGTTCCTTCCCTGCAGCAGTGGAGGACAGCACTGCCTGCACCGAAACCCAATTCTGAGGAAGTTGTTCATTGAGAAGTTCACAAAATTATCCTCACCCTTAGGCCCAGTGCTTTGGCTTTGGTGAAACATAATCCGGTCCTGAGTTTTATTATTACAAAACTGTCTCTGGAATAATATATCTAGTAAGCATTTTTTCTTTGAGATGGTCTTTCCTAGGCTGATGAAGAGTTCCTGGACTCAGGGGAGCCTCCTGCTCAGCCTCCCAAGTGGCTGGACAACAGGCATGCCTACCTGGCTAAGCAGACATTACATTGTACCCTTGTCCTGTAAAACTGACCTAAAGCCCTTAAATGTTACAGTTCTGATCGTTTCTAACAATAGTTTATCTAGGTTTATTGAAACCCATTTTATCAAAGTTATTCATTATAAAACTTCTTGTTTTATGCCAGAGTAGGAACAGTGAAATTTTTTCTTTTGTGGATAAAATTTTTCCTTTTGTGGATAACAGTGAACTCAGGCAAATGATTGAAAGCCATCATTAAATAGAAAACTCAGTTTGGAACATTCATGAGAATGCTGTTTTCCAGCAGCATGTTGTGGGCATTAAAAACAACAAACTGTAATTTTTTCATCATATACTGTTTATTTCCCTCATAAGGCAAAGTTATAAGCAATTTTTTAAAAAAGCAAATTGAGAGTTAAAATAAGGTGCATTAACATTTGACTGTTTCTTCATGCCCTGTTCCCTCAGTCTCTTGCATTTGGTGATGACTTTTAATATACAAGGACTTAGGTGAAGGTGACTGGCCCATTTGACTTTTTTGACCCCAGCATAGCCTTCCTTCCCTCAGTATTCCTTATTAATTAAATAATCACTCATTTATTCATTCATAAATGTAAGTACTCTCCTAAATATTGGGCTTCTGAAAATAATGAAATATTCCTTCTTAAACTCACTTTAAGACTCCCTTAGTGGGAAAGACTCAAATAAGATCTATAGAGGAGACGTGTAAATGGAATAGTGTGTTTGTTTATTTACTGGGGATTGACCCTAGTGGTGCTTTACCACTGAGCTATATCCCAGTCCTTTTTAGTTTTTATTTTGAGATGGAGTCTTACTAAGTTGCTAAGGCTGGCCTCGGACTTGAGATCCTCTTGCTGCAGTCTCCCTAGTTGCTAGCGTTACAGGCATTACCACCACATCCAGTTTAGTGTGTTTATTTTAAGTGTGTTTTTTATAAAGTGCATGTCCCTAGGACATTTTTACCACAAGAACTGTTCTGGCTTAGAAAAGAGATTCTATGAGTTCACTTTGTTATAGTCATAGGTATGTATGGTCTTATTACGTGTATTGTGTATTTATAAGACTCTTTCCTTACCTGAATTTTCCTGAATTGATGACTTCTCCACATTTCCCCCTCTTCTCCTTAAGAGTGATTTGAAGGCATTGTGCTGGTGATATGCCTATTGTTATCCAATCCACATGACTGTATTGGTAAATATCAGGTGGATAATTAAACATGGACCCATCGCCAGAGTAAATGAAACCAGTCTTATTTTTCTAAAAAATAAGTAAGTTATCTTTGCTAGGTCCACTTAGTGAGGCAAAGCGATGCAGTGTACAAACTCTGGGCCTTGTGGGTCCTCACCATGGTAGCCCCAAGTCAAGTCTTGTGATGCCTGCATGGAGTATGGGCAGAGCTTCTGGAAGCCATGCTTTACTTTCTATCACCTGCTGGGCAGGCATGTCGTAGGTCATTCTGGCTGGGGCAGGCCCATTTCTGTCTCCATGTGTCCCATCTGCAGTTGGGCTTTCTCTGCCCTGACCACCTTTAGCCTTTCCAGGCCCCTGAGCCTGATCTCTGGACACCCTAGCAAATAGAACTGAAAGACAACACAGTATCTCCTGCAGGCAGGACCCTTCCTGTCCTTGTGGATGCTTTCACATGGAGAAGCCAAAACATTCAGAAACATCAGAAATTTATCAGTGTCCCACATGGTCCCTGAACATGATGGAGTCTTTCTTTTTTCATTTAGATGAAATCAACTGGAACTACTGTTTTTACCTGTTTCATAATCCTTTCCTGGCAAGTGTATAAAACTTAATAGTCACATAAAAGTGGTAAGACAGGCAGTAGACATCATTGCTAGGTCCACATCATGTCCACAAAGCTGCATCAAGTATATTCTGTGGAGTTCCTGTTTCCTGCTGATGTTTCAGTATGTGATCGGGACCATATTATATTATCTTATCGTAGAGGTGATGATTCTAAAGGAAGCATTTTTAGTGCTGGTGTGTTTTTGTGAGTGGGACAGTTTTTTTAAAGGATGCACATTTAAATTTCTTGGTAGGCTATTTGTCCATTCTCAGAAATGTGCTTCTCCCCTCCTAGAATGTGTAAATAGAAAGAAAGGAAATTCTCGGTTCCTAGCTGGGAATTAGAGAAACCAAGTCATGCTATCTGATACTTCTGTAGCAGGCTGTGGACTTTCCTATAGTGAAAGAGAAAACTAGAACATAAGCCAGAGTATTTGGTGATTGTGGCAAATACTGGCTTGCTTATTGCTTTGGTGATTGTGGCAAATACTGCAGAGTGGTTCCGAAGGTTAGAGAAGGTACAGGCTTGAACAGGAATAGCAATTGAATTTCAGGTGTGGTGAGTATGTATTTCAGGTGTGGGACATATGTATCTGTCTGGAGTTTAGGATAGAGGCCTGAACTGGTCATGTAAGTTTGAGAAGTGTCATTGTATAGATGGCAGTTAAATTAGCCAAAAAGTTAGTCAGACTCACCATCAAAGCAGCAAGCACAGATAAAAAGAGTAAAAGACCAAAGACTGAGCCCTGGGGCCTTCCAATTTTATGATTACTTGAAGGAGAGAGGAACCAGCAGAAGAGATTGAAAATGGCCAGAAAGGTTAAGGGGGAACTAACGTTGTTTTGTTCTGGAGGCAAAATGAAGAGTATTCAGTTGAGTAGCATGGTGCGTCCTGGGATTTTTTCAGACCTGTGTCCCTGAGGACAAGAGTTGTGCCTGATAGTTTTAGTTTCCCCAACAGCCAGGATTATGCCTGGCTCCCAGTGCAAGTCCAGCATTTTCATTTTCTTAATGTATATGAATAAGCTCCCTGGCACTATATTTATGATATATGTGTTTTTCTTCCACAGCCTGTAATGTAAAATAAGGTATAAAGTGTTGTGTTGTGTTTTGTTTTGTTCTGTTTTGTGGTGCTGGGGATTGAACCCAGGGCCTTGTGCAATCAAGGCAAGAACGGTACCAATTGAGCTATAGCCTCAGGCCAAGGTATACAGTGTTCATGGTTAACTTTACCAGTGAGCTTGAAAAGATCTTGTCTGTGTGTACCTTTCCATGTCACCCAATTCCAATTGTGGTACCACTGCAGGGGCCAGTGTCATTCAAGGATGTGGCTGTGGACTTCACCCAGGAGGAATGGCAGCAGCTGGACCCTGATGAGAAGGTGACGTACAGGGATGTGATGCTGGAGAACTACAGCAACCTCGTTTCTGTGGGTGAGAAAAACTTGCTTTCTCAGTTGCTAAAATACATGGGATTTCTCTGATTTAACTTTGAATTAGATGGGACAAATGTGAGTAGTGTTTTTGGCACCAGGTAGGGCATTGTGGTCTTGACCTTCCCAGTGAAAGGCTCTGATTTTAATAAAGCACCAGGGCACTTTGTTGTGCAGCTGGCACAGCAGCACTTGCCCCGCCTGACAGAGACCCTGCAGCCAAGCAGCCAGGTTCAAGTTCTCTTTCATTTCTCATTAACAGGGTATCACATTATCAAACCGGATGTTATCATCAAGTTGGAGCAAGGAGAAGAGCCATGGATAGTAGAAGGAGAATTTCCACCTCAAAGCTATCCAGGTGTGTTAGTGGAGGCAGAGAGGAGATTGGTAATGGGTAGTTTCTCTCCCAGGGACTTTTCTAATGGTCCCAAACCCTTAGAAATACTAGTTACTTTTACACTGTAGGTACCTGACTCTCATTCCCTAAGACTCCTTCCTTTCTAATGAAAATGTATGTCTGCAGAGCTTTGCCCTACTTAACCACTGCCCAGAATCGAAAGTCAGCCCCTTCCTTCTTCCTCTTAAACCTTGGGTCTTTGCTCAATCTTCTAGCATTTCAGTAATCCATTATCATAGGTTCCTTTTGTTTTTAGATATTCTTAAGGCTGTTACCAAAAATAACATGTGACTCTTATGTTCTAATTACCTTCCTGTTTTAAGTGTTTTTATTTTCTTTGCTGTGAAATGCCTCAGACTTACTATTATCCTCAGTTTCACTTTTTACTCCTCTTTCCTTGAGGTCAGATGCCAAAATCCCTACCTGTGCCTAAAGCAATAGATTTCATCCACCTTCATTGGTATATACATTATGCTTTATTGGATGGTGCTGATCATTCCTGAAATTTAGCCCTCCTGGAGTTTGGTAATAGTAGTAACTCCCTAGTGACTCCTTCTTTTCCTAAGTGCTCATTTTTATCTTGACTCTAATTTACTGTTGTTCTTAATGCCTTTAGTAACATTGCTGTTGTATGGGCTGCTTAATAGGTTTTACATACATAAATTATATTTGATTTATTTGTCCTTCCACCTTCTCCAGAAATGTCTCTGAAGGATCTGTTTCCACCTGCTGTGATTTCCCTGTTTCACGAGATCCTCAAAAGGGTTTCTCCGGTCTCAAGTCTGTCAGGTTTTTGTTTGTTTGTATGTTTTTATACTGCTCACACTAAGGTTGAAATCTTTGCTACTGTTCTGTAGAACACTGTTGTATAGACCAAGTGTTTTCTGTTCATAGCAGTGCAGAGCTTCTCTCATTCTACATATCTGAAAAATGATCATGATCTTTTTAAAATTATAATTACTAAGAACCTTTCCCCCTTCCCTTATTTACTAAATTACACTATTCTTCTCTTTCCTTATAGTGCCCCTGAGGACTCAATAAAAATGCCCATTTGTCACCAGCTATTACTGATCTGGCCAGGATGAGTGACTGGGTTTTATCCCTTGTGAGATGTATTAATTTATCCTTTGAATTTTGTCAGTTTCCTTTGCCTTATGTAAACAAAACTGTACTCTCTCATAGCTATATTACTGTGAATCATAATTGGATTTCAAGACATCTTCATCTGACGTCTCCAGTTATGTTATCACTAGCCTTACAAGACAAACCTGCTCTATCCATTATGACTTCTTTGTCTTTCAGGGATCACCACAGTATTGCCCTGTATTGCCTAGAGGAAGTAATTTCCCATTCACTAAACTCATTCTGCCCATGCTCCTGACATCTTCTCTTCATGAGATTTTCATTCCTGCAGCTTCACACTTCACTAGGGTGGCTCTCCTTCCCCAAGTGACATATTTTTAGTGTCTGGGCTTGAATTTTCTACCTGTTTGAAGTTTGTTTCCTTCCTGCCTCTTATCATTCCAGTTTCTTCCTTCTTTCAACTTCAGTTCAACCAAAAAAAGAAAAAGAAAAGTAGTCTGTAATCCAACAGGATATATATTTTGCTTGAGCTTTTTTGTTCTCCTGAATTATAATCCTATAAAGAAAATGTCATGTTCTCCCTCAATATAGTATGTAACATAGAGTAGACATTTGTTTCTTGATTTTTCTGAGGAGCCATTCAGATCAAAGAACTTTCTTGTCCATCCATTCAAAAATAATTTATAGGCAGTTATTTCTAAATATGCCTGCCTGAGTCACATTCCCATATTTTCTTACATACTAGAAAAATACCTCTGTGATTCCAATTAAGAATATCTTTGATTCTGTTCAAGGATAGAAAAGCCTTTACAGATAGGCTTTGAGTGGATGAAGCCAGGTAAAGAGGAAAGCAATAAGATTAGAGACCTGTGGCTACAAATGCACTGGGGGTGTGTTGGGCACTATAATAGTCTTAACATAAGTCAAGGCTCTGAGATCATGATCAGTCTCTGACAACCAACATGTCATGACAAACTGTAAAGTGCTGATTACCTGCTCTAAAGCAAATCTCCGCTTAGGTGTATTTTATCACCCTCTTCATCCAACAAATGAGCTTGGCTTTCCTGGGACAGAGTATTTTTAGTAACAGCTCATCCTAGCCATTGTGAATCCAGATGGTAAAAAGTATTATCAGATTTTTTAAAAAACCATTTTATCTGTTGATGAGCAGTGGATTCAGAGAAGCTCTTGGTTTGGGAGAATAAAATTGATATGGCTTCATTTGATATGGATGACAGCAGGTACATTAGTTAGGTTCATCCCAGAATTTGTAAGATAAGTTAAAAAAAAAAGTTTAAAACCCATTATTATAAAAACAGGCTGAGGGATCTAATGCTTAAGGTTTATACACTATATTAAACTGAGGGATGGGGAAGCATTCACACTCAATTAGGTGAGAGCAAAATGTCAGGAGCAGGACTGGTTTAAGGAAATTATCAGGAGATTGAAAATAAGAAAAATAATTGCTCAAATCATTGAGCATGTATTTTGGGCCTGTTCTGAGCGCATCATTAACTTCAGTAATCCCATAACAACCCTATGAGGTAGGGGCCATCATCTCCACTATTAACTAGCTCACCTAGGCTGCCTCGTCAGAGTTCATGTGAGATTGTCCAAATAGGAAGAAAAGGAATTTCATGGCCAGAATAAATTTAGTATTAAATCAGTGTTGTTAGAATATTTAGAATCTAAACTTTCAGAAGGGTGGTACCCTGTGGACCATTTTATACTTCCTGTGGACATGGATGTTCCAGAACTCTCCTTCCAGGTAAAGCTGAGTTAGGGAAAATGCTGGTTAAAGGTTCTAGACATGAGAAAGTTTAGATGTGAATTTATTCAGCACCACTGTGGGGGATGGAGATGAAAAGGCAAAGTAGTATGTAAGGATGTAGAGCAGGGAGAGTGTTGCCACAGACATCTTAGAATAATGCCTTAGACTGCAATCCACCTCTCCCAGCTGATAGGAAGTGACATGGAGTAAAGTGCTCATCCACCTCCAAACTGAATCCCTGCCTGGATATGGCATGTGACCCTCCTTGTTCAGCAGAGCTCCTTGTCATTCATCCTGTTTGTTCCCAGTCCTTTCATGTTTGTCAGCCATTCATCCAACATCCTTTTTCTACCAGTCATTGCTGTGTCTGCATTTTACCTTGTGTACCCTTGAACAAAATACAAAGTAGCAAAGATCAAAGGTGCCATGTTTTTGTCAAGTTTACTTGTTTCTCTACCACTTTCTAGTGTGTTTGTCTGTTATTCCAAACAAAAGAATGAGGGAAAAAAGCATTTGGAATTTTATCCATCTGTCTATTAAGGTAGCACCTACCCACAGTAAGGTGCTGTGTGCCAGTCTCATTCCATATCTCTTGTAGGAAGATGTACAAAAGTTGGTTCATTTTGCCTCTTTTTAGATGAGGTCTGGCAAGTGGAAGACCCAATGGAGAAGCTCCAGGAAGATGAAGATATGTTCTTCATCAACAAAACCCTTGGTGAAGAGAGAGGTAATGTTTCTGGTAAAGCTTTTAATGTAGAAATAAACCCTGTTCCTTCAAGAAAAGTGGCCTCTAAATGTGACTTATGTGAAAAGAGTTTAACATCTGTTTCGGAGTATATCAGTAGTGATGGAAGTTATGCAAGGATGAAACCCAGTGAATGTAGTGGATGTGGGAAATCACTTCTCCACATTAAACTTGAGAAACCTCATCCAGGAGATGAATCTTATGAATTTAATCAAAATGGAGAAGCTTATGCTTTAAGTGAACAAAATATTTATCAGAAAATTCATATTTTGGAGAAACCCTTTGAATACATAGAATGCCAGAAAGCCTTCCAAAAGGACACAGTTTTTGTTAATCACATGGAGGAGAAACCGTATAATTGGAATGAATCTGAAATAGCCTTTCTCCAGATGTCAGATCTCAGTGTTCATCAGAGATCTCACATGGAAATGAAACCTTATGAATGCCGAGAGTGTGGAAAATCTTTCTGTAAAAAATCCAAATTCATTATACACCAGAGGACTCACACAGGGGAGAAACCTTATAAATGTAACCAGTGTGGGAAGTCTTTCTGCCAGAAAGGAACTCTTACTGTACACCAGAGAACCCACACAGGGGAGAAGCCTTATGAATGTAATGAATGTGGGAAAAACTTCTACCAGAAGTTACACCTCATTCAACACCAGAGAACTCACTCAGGAGAGAAGCCCTATGAATGTAGTTATTGTGGAAAATCCTTTTGCCAGAAGACACACCTCACACAACACCAGAGAACACATTCAGGAGAGAGGCCCTATGTTTGCCATGACTGTGGAAAGACCTTCTCCCAGAAATCAGCACTTAATGATCACCAGAAAATTCACACAGGTGTGAAACTCTACAAGTGCAGTGAATGTGGGAAATGCTTCTGCCGCAAGTCTACTCTCACAACGCACCTGAGGACACACACAGGAGAGAAACCTTACGAATGCAATGAGTGTGGGAAATTCTTCTCTCGGTTATCCTATCTAACTGTACATTACAGAACTCATTCAGGAGAGAAGCCCTATGAATGTACTGAATGTGGGAAAACCTTCTATCTGAATTCAGCCCTCATGAGACATCAAAGAGTACACACAGGAGAGAAACCTTATGAATGTAATGAGTGTGGAAAACTGTTCTCCCAGCTGTCGTACCTGACTATACATCATAGAACTCATTCAGGAGTGAAACCCTATGAATGTAGTGAATGTGGAAAAACCTTCTACCAGAATTCAGCCCTTTGTAGACATCGGAGAATACACAGAGGAGAGAAGCCCTATGAATGTTACATATGTGGAAAGTTCTTCTCTCAGATGTCATACCTCACTATACATCACAGAATTCATTCAGGAGAAAAACCTTACGAATGTAGTGAATGTGGGAAAACCTTCTGTCAGAATTCAGCCCTTAATAGACATCAGAGAACACACACAGGAGAGAAAGCTTATGAATGTTTTGAATGTGGGAAATGCTTCTCTCAAATGTCATATCTCACCATACATCATCGAATCCATTCTGGAGAGAAACCATTTGAATGTAACGAATGTGGGAAAGCCTTCTCTCGGATGTCATACCTCACTGTGCATTACAGAACCCATTCAGGAGAGAAGCCCTATGAATGTACTGAATGTGGGAAAAAATTCTACCACAAATCAGCATTCAATAGCCATCAAAGAATTCATAGGAGAGGGAATATGAACGTAGTTGATGTGGGAAGGCTTCTCTGAAGTTGTACCTCAGAAACCTTTTAATATAATAGACAAAAACTCTACATGAAGTCAAACGCTATTATACACTAGGCCCTCTGTATCCATGGGTTCCATATCTACGTATTTGACCAACTGAAAATATTTGGTGAAGAAATTGCATTTGTTCTGAACACTGACTTTTTCTCTTGTCATTATTCCCTAAACTATACAGTGTAACAACTATTTACATAACACGTATGTTATGTATTGTAAGTATTCTGGAAATGATTTCAAGTATATGGGAAGGATTATGTTAGTTATATGCAAATACTATACCGTTTTACATAAGGACTTGAGCATCTGCACATTTGGGTATCTGAGGGGTCATGGAATCAATAACCAGCCCTCCCTTCATCCAGCCTTGGATACCAAGGCACCATTGTATATCACAGTTCGTGCAGGCGAGTGTGGACAGGCCCTTGCGTGTAGGTCAGATTCATCATCTGAACATTCACGAGGTAGAACCACAACTGTTAACAAGACCATGCAACTCACTAAATACTAGACTATACAGAAATAAAAATGTCAATATTTAGAATGTGTATGTCTCACCATGAATTTGAACTGCTTTACATATCAGGGAATTTTAACAGATTAAGGAATGTGGAAAACGTACTCCTTTGGAAAATGTTAATACGTAAAGATGTGTTTCTCATATAACAAACTTTTTGTAAACAGTTTGAACAAAAACAGAACATATCTGCTGTGAATAAACATACTCTTTTTGTAAATAGAAAATGTAAAATTATTGGGAGAGCTAGCCAACTCTACTAGATTAAACTCATGTAATAACAGTTCCTGAGGAACAATAGGATTTAGGGGCTTTTTATTTGTTTTTTACTATGATACATTATAGTAATTGTTATTCAGTTTGAATCTTGTTTGAAAAACCTTGTTTCCTTATTAGTTTATAACACATAGGGTAAGATTGCCCACTCTGAATAGCATCACAATGTTAATATCTTAATATGTATTTTCAGTGAGATAATATTTGTCATTTACAAACACATTTAATCATAGTTAATGAACTATGTCATCCATAAAGAAGCCATTTTTTATAATATTTTCACATATAGATAAAGGAGATAGATCAGCAAAGGAGATAGATCTAGATGTATGAAATAGAAAACTCTGCATAGATAATTTTAAATTGTTAAGCTGGAAGTCTCCAAGAGTGACGAAGAGCTTTAGAACTTACTGCATTCTATACAATTAAAAAGGGGAGAGGGTTACTTAAAATATTCCCATCCTGTTTTTCACCTGTTTTTTATTTGGATGCTTACATAAGTGTGTGTAGAGCACAAATACTGTGTAACATAGAAATTAGATGTCTTTTTATGATAGAGTTTGTGAATGTTGTGCTCTGCTCCTTTCCAATACTGAAGGAATTGAGAACACATTAATTGTGGCAGACATTGTTGAGTGACTCCCCCAGTCCTCCCTCCTTACTCTTTGCAGGCAGAGTCTGGGTATCCATTTGTCCTCACAGGATAGGAGATAAATCCTGATTAGTTTCAATCAGTAATGATAACCTTTCTCATTGCCAGCAGTTGGTTTAGAGTGGTCCTGGGATCAGTCTAGATAAAGAGGTACCTGACAGGTATTTTCTGGAAAAGATTTCTTCAAAGGTTCAAGGACTCAAGCAAGGTGAAATGGAGTCTTTGGTCAATGTCGCCTTTCCTGGATCTGGTGCCTGGTATCGGCTTTCAACAGTGATTATAGTTTAATCCTGACCAGAAAGATTGGAAGAACTTGGGACCTAGATGATGTCACTGAGCCTGGGAACCAGCCAGCCTTGTGGCCATTCTATGTCTGGACTATTTGTTTTGTGATAGACTAAATTCATTTTTTAAGCCAGTTGACTCAGAATGTTCTGTTGGTAATAATTGAAGACACTGTAACTGATAACAGAGTTACACTTTTATAGGAGTTATGTAATTCAGAAGTGGACTTTAAGCACTTATTTTGAGGTGTTGATTAAAAAATGTATTTCCTGTAAATTTTGATGTAAATAGTTTGAGCATTGGATATCAACTTAAAACAATTAAATGTGTATGCTTCCTTGAACTCTCATAACACAGACTTGCAGAATTAACCTTTGGAATCTGTCATACCTCAGGTGCACCTCCATTTTTCTAATATGTGAAATAAATTTTGAGGTAATTTAATTTTATTATTCATGGATCACTGCTACATTAGTTGGCAATATATGGTGTAAGGTAAGGATCTAATTTTGCTTTCAAATGATTACTTGCCAGGTAGCCTGTCTCATTTTACTAATTTACCCCTTTACACCACTGAACTGAAATGCCATATTTTTCATGTGTGAAACACACATCACTCCTGTTTTGTTGCTTAGCACTTTTTCTCCATATTTTTCTAGATGATTGTATGCTATGTAATAGGAATTAAAAGTCTGGTAGATTGTATAGTTTAGGGTAGGAACCAAAAGTTTAGAGCATATTTGTTGAAATTTTATCTACAAAGGTTTCCACCCTGGAATGTCATTACAGCTTATTACACAATGTACATTTTGACAAAAATAAAGACATGATGTTAATACCAGAGCTACATTCTATTTGAGACCAAGATTCAGCCTCCCTTCCCTGTCTTTATTCCATCTCACTATGTTCAGCTGTGCTGTCCAATCAGGATCCTCAGAACTACATAATAAGCAATGCGACTGCAGCCTAAATAATGACCAGCTTTCCTAGAACACCTCTAGTTAAATAAAATGGAGCCACAAGGATATCCATATTTTAAATTATGTTGCTTTTTTCTTATGACAAAGAAAAACTATATCAAAAGCAAATTGGTTTTCCTTGATTGAATTTCAAAGTCTATGCCTTCTGCCAAAGTGATGACTAGTGTGAGCTCCTGGCTTGTTTCCATGACCCATTACTGGAGATCCCATAGCAGGAAAAGCTATGTGTGGATCCAGAGAACTAAAGACCAGTCAGGTAATGGCCAAGAGACCCATGCTGAGGAAAACCTGAATTGTAATCTTTACACAGACTTTGCTTTTCCTCCCTGTACTTATTATTCCCCATCTCCCTTGGACCACATATTAGCGTGGAATTGTACATGACATGACAGTCTCTGTCTCGGCTACTAAGCTACCTTCCTCTGCAGCCAACTTAATAGAATTAGGAAAAATTGAGGATAGTCATTTCTTCTAAAATGCAATATATGCATTTCTCCAAAACCTAGTGGTGTGCAAAGTGACTAAATAAAATTAGGTCTTAGAAAGTAAAAGGAATCCACTCAAGATCCTTAAAATAGTAAGAGTATTAGCAGAATCGGTAACAATCCTAGTACAAAAACTAGTTTAATTCCTAAAGGAATATACCGTAATTTTATCTTTAGAAAAACACCTATCCAGACCTTGGTTTCTAGTTATCATCTCCCACTAAGTGTAACATTAGTAGAATCACAGAATCAGATTATTCCAAGGCCAAACAGGCTGGAGAGTGGGGAGCATTGGCACTCAGCTTGGAAGGCTGAGGCAGGAGGATCACAAGTTCAAAGCCAGCCTCAGGAAAAGTGAGGTGTTAAGCAACTCAGTGAGACTCTGTTTCTAAATACAAAATAGAGCTGGGGATGTGGCTCAGTTGATTCAATCCCTCTTACCACCCCCCTAAAAAAGGGGGGGGGGATTGAAGGGAGATGACATTATAATGGATGGCAGAGCAAGGAAATCCCCAACAGGATTAACTGTGGAATTGACAAAACTGATAGAAACCTTCCAGCCACCAGATGAAGGCTTGGTAAAGAAGTGGGTCAGGGTCAGGGTTGTGGCAGCACCTTTGTAGTCAGAAGATGCTGTGGCTGTTTAAAGTACCCATCTGCCATGGCCTGCACCCCACCCAGAGCGTCAGTCTAAAGGATGAGCCAGTGTTCCAGGTTCAGGTTGTATGAGGGGGAGGAACTGTGGCTGTGGGTTCGCCTGTTTGCTGCTGTCTATGAAACTGTCACCAGAGCTTCTCTTAGTTTTACTAAACTACAAATGGTCAGCGTCTTCCTAGGTAGTTTGCACCTAAAGCATTTAGGTGCCTACAGATACTGGCTGCAGCAGCTTGGGGCAAGGAACTCTGGTGATGAGCAAGAGACAGAGGAAAAGACATGAAGAGGAAGAGGGTGAAGGGAGATATGTGGAGGAAGGCGGATTTTAACAACTTTCATGGGTACTGGAAAGGTACACATTGCCAGAGAGGGACACATCTCAAAATGACCCAAGGAAGAAGGCCCTGTGTTCTCACCTTGAACTCACCTTCAGGATCTAAGCTAGAAGTGAAGGCCAAGCTCTGAAGGGGCCCCCAGCAGAAAACCAACCTGCAAAAGCTAAGAGTATTTTCCCCCCTTTTCTTACCCTACCTCCACACACAATGGGCTAAATGATTATGTCCTCCCCACCTTTCATATGTTAAAATCCAAACCCCAAAATGATAGTATTAGTTAAGATCTTCGGGAAATGATAGGGTCATGGGGATGGCACCGTCATGAATGGGACTAGTGGCCTTATAAAAGAGACCTCAGAGTTACTCTTACTGCTAAGTGAGGACACAGAAAGAAGTTGGTGGTCTCTGACCCAGAAGAGGCCCTCACCTGAACTTGACCATGCTGCACCCTGATCTCAGACTTCAGTCTCCAGAGCTGTAAGAAAATAAATGTCAGTTGTTTATACACAACCAGGCTGATGCTGTCACAGCCACCCAAGGCAGATGGCTTTCCACTGTCCTACAACTGCAGCATGTCTACTCTGTGGACATTCCCATACGTGTGTATCGCAGGTGTGTTTCTCTAGAGCAGTGTTTTCCAATTTTTTTTTCCACTTTAAGCCTTAGAAAGTAATGAATCTCACTTTGCCACCCAAGACAGTGTACACGTGCACTCACTCAAGTTTTGATGAGTGCTTACTGCACACCACGCTGTGTTCCAGGTGCCACTATGGCAGCGAGCAGAGTAAACCAAGGTCCCTGCCCTCTCACAGAGAAGACAAGCAACAGAACATGGGGCATGGTGGAGGGTAATAAGAGGGTTCTGCAAAAAAGGAAAAGGAGAAGCAGACAGCTGAAGAGGCGGGGAGCTTCGTTTGAAGCAGGTTTATTAAGGTGACTGAAAAAAAGAACTGGAGATGGTGCAGGGGAGAGGCACCGAGGGACCTTAAGGAAAGTGTATCCCAGGAAGAAGGGACAGAGAGGATTTCACAGAACAACATGTCTTATTATCATGCTGCTTCCTCATGTTTTCTGAACTATTTATTTTAAAAAGCACACCAGTCCACTAAGTTGATTCCACAGCCCAGAATCATGGGTCACCATGTCCCACAGTTTGAAAGCAATGTTGCTGGAAAGGGGGCAGCATCCTCAGGAGAGCTGGCTGCCATCTGTAGCACCTTCCAAAGGCTCTACCTGTTCACTAGGGACACCTTGCCGTATGGATTCCCAAGGACTCCCAGGAGCCTTGGGCCTGCACTGTGCACACACCCTGACTGCCTTGGGCCAGGGAGGAGCGAGCTCTCTCTAGTCTGTTTTATAAGGGCACCCGATCCCACTCAGTCACCTCCCCAAAGCCCAACCTAACACTTGCACAGGCAGATTAAGGTTTCAACAAATGAATTCTGAGGGGACAAACATTTAAGAGAATCAAAATCAAATTATTACACATTAATGAATACACAAACATAATAAACTGGAGTTGGATATTTTAATATCAATAAGCCTCAAAGCCATAGTTTGAGATGAAAATTAAGTATAAATAATACTACCAGTGATAGAAAAATATGCACAACTTTGGATACATGCTGAGAGCGCCACGTAGGACACACTGGACCTTGATAACACCAAAATTTGAAAGGGACTGTAGCCAGGAGGAGGTGTGTGGGATTAAGGGAGACTCAGAGGTCTTTCCTCCACTGGAGTGGCGACAATACACTGGAATTTATGGAAATATCTCATACAAAGTCTCCACAGTGGCCAGTGGCTGAGCAGGATCTCAGACCAGAACATGACAAGAGCTCAGACATAAGGCAAAAAAAAAAGGAAATAAAAGGCATCCAAGTCAGAAAGGAAGAAGTAACATCATTTCTATTTGCAAATGACATGATCCTATTAGTTAGAAAACCCCCAAAGAGTGTACTTAAAAAGTCCTGTTAGAATTCACAAATGAATTCAATAGAGTTGCAGGATACAAAATCGATATACAAAAGATCAATAGTGCCTCTATATACAAATCACACCCTAGTTAAAAATATGTCAAGAAAACAATCTTGTTTATGATAACATAAAAAATACTTAGGAATAAACTTCACCAAGGAAGGGAAAATGTTTTTACACTAAAAACTATAAAACAATGAACAAAACTGAAGATGACACAAAAAGGCTGTGTGGATCAGATATTCTGTGTGGATCAGAATAATTGCTATTGTTAATATTCCATATAACCAAATCAATATACCTATTTAACACAATCCCTACCAAAACTCCAATGGTATTCTCCCCAAAAGAAAAAAAATCTATATAAAAAAATTTATATAGAACCACATACACACACCAACCTTAACAGCAAAGCAATACTTGGGAAGAAAAACAGGTATCATACTTCCTGATTTTACATGATATCACAATGCTGTAATAGCTAAAGCAGTATAGTACTGGCATAAAAACCCAAACAGACCAATGAACAGGACAGAGAGTCCAGAAATGAACCCACACATAGGTAGTCAACTAATTTTTAAGAAGTGCACCAAAAGGACACAATAGGAAAGGGACAGTATCATCAACTAAGGGTGTCTGACCAAATGGAAAAGAATTCAGCTGGACCTTTACCTCACACCATATACAAAATCCAACTCAAAACTGGTAAAAAAAATTATATATATATGTATATTCCAAAAGTGCATGCTGTAAACATTAAAAATATGTGAGACTGTATCAGACTAAAACGCTTCTGCATAGCAATGGAACAATCAACAAAATGAAAAGGCAACTTACAGACTAGAAAAAAGATATTTGCAAATGGCATATCTGATAAGGGATTAATATCCAAAATATATAAAGAACTCTTACAACTCAACAGCTGAAAAAAATCCCAACTTAAATATGGGCAAAAGGGGCTGGTTGTAGCTCAGTGGAAGAGCGCTTGCCTAGCACGCATGAGGCATTGAGTTGGATCCTAAGCACCATATTAAAAAATATAGTTATTTTTTTAAAAAATCACTTAAAAGAGGGTATGGAAGGCAAAGGACCTAAACAGACATTTCTTCAAAGAAGATATTAAAATGGACAACAAATATAAGTATCCAACATCACTGGTCATCAGGGAAATGCAAATTAAAGTCTCTATGAGATACCACCTCACACTCACAAGAATAATGATAATAAAAAAGATAAGAAGCTGGATGCAGTGACCAACAGTGGCTCAGGAGGCTGAGGCAGGAGGTTTACAAGTTCAACCTCAGCCTCAGCAACTTAGTGAGGCCCTAAGCAACTTAGTGAGATCCTGTCTCTTAATAAAGTATGAGGAAAAAGGGCTGGGGGGGTGCTGGGATTGTGCTCAGTGGTAGAGAGCCCCTGTCTTTTCTCACCATGATCCCAGCACCCTACCTGGTTCCTAGGACAAATGACAAGAGTAGTGACGTGGAGCTGGGAGGTGGGCCAGGACTTGAAGAATTCCTATGATCTTAGCTGAGCAATGGTGCTTGACCTTTGGGGTGTGATGAACCCTCTTTTGGGAAACATGTACATACTCCCACACAGGTGACTCAGCAAAGTGGCTCAGCAGCTTCAGGGACTCCTGGGTCTTCTCAGCAGGTCCTCAGTGAGGAGGGTGCCACTCAGTTGGGAGGGACCATTTGCTCAGGAAGTTTGAGATTATGATCCAGAGAGAAAGGATGGGGCTCCAGGACCCAAGAGGGAAGAGAAGAAGGAGCCACCTGCCTGATTCCTGCCCTCTGTCCCTCCAGGGCCATGGAGGAAAAGTCAAGTAATTCTTGAAAAATAGAGCAGAGGGACTTGCTCTTCAATACATCCAAATCCACTGTAAAGCAGAGGCAATAAAAACACAGCCCTCTCGAGCACAATTAAGAATCATCCCAGTAAAACAGAACAAAAATCAGTCAAGCAGCCACACAAATGCATCGAGACTGCAGGCCGCAGGGTGTGGTGGCATACACCTGCAATCCCAGCCACTCAGCAGGCTGGGGCAGGAACATCTTAAGTTGGAGGCCAGCCTCTGCAACTTAGAGACCTTGTCAAATGTAAAAAATAAGGCAACCCTGGGTTTCATTCCCAGTATATACACACACACACACACACACACACACACACACACACACACACAACTGAAGAGAAAACCAATGCAACTCCAGAGTCAAAGCAAAGAAAATACAGCTCTGTAATGACCTCTCATCACAAACCCCTCACGAAAACCCACACTGGCTCACCCTGAAAAACCAAGCTGGACGACATGGTGGGATGGTGACTGGTCTCCAGGGCACACAGGCCAGCCCTGGGGCTCAGCAGCTTAGTACAAGATAAAGATAGTATTTCAAATCAGAAACAAAAAAGGATGGATTCATTAAATGGCATGAGGAAAAATAGCAATTCATTGGGAAAAGATCAGATCCTTAAATCAAACCACAGCTTATTTTTAAAATGGAAAAAGGAAGCTGGGCCTGTGCACACAACTACTGTGCCCAGCTACTGGAAAGACTGAGGCAGGAGGATGGCTGATTTGGGAGTTTGAGACCAGCCTGGGCAGCACAGTGAGACTCTCAGAAAAAGGTCAATGAGTCATGTGTTTGTTTTTTTAAAGGACTGTTTTGTATAAAGATAAATAAGGATACTTATACATAACTAGGTCCCCAAAGGAAATTCCCAGCACTATCTTTCTTTCAAACAAGAAATAATATCTCAGGGCTGAGTTGTGGCTCAGTGGTAGAGTGCTCGCCTAGCACATGTGAGGCACTGGGTTCCATCCTCAGCACCACATAAAGATAAATAAAGGTATTGTATCCATCTACAACTAACAATATTTTTTAAAAAAGAAATAATATCTCCTTATGACATGGACATTTACAGAACAGAAAACAAATGCTGAAATAATTTTCTCCCCAAACAGCCATAGAGTGTTCTTGTAAATTACATAATTGGAGGAATGGTAACTGGAGACTGAACCCAGGCCTCGTGCTTGCTAAGCACACCCTCTACCGCTGAGTACAGTTCAGAACCTGAATTACATTTTTAAAAAGGTATCCCTCTTCAAAGTGAGGATGTCTTATAGCTCCAAATAACCAAAGAATCTTAACTCCAACAGGCTTGGATTCTCTCAGTGGCAAAGCTGATTCACTGAGCCCTTCCCAGCAGAGTGAGGTCTTCCATCAGCTCACAGCCTCCACCCACCCAGCCCTGAATCACAAGATGCAACTGTGTTCACACCCATGTGCTCTGTGATCTTTACCTAGATGCTCTAGGGGATGCTACTAGCAGGTTCTAAAATTCTACCATTCCTTCTGCCTGTATTAGCTCATAGATTATTTTGGCCCCTCTTATGTGTGGAGATTACTGCAGACTCAGATTTTTGTTTATTAAAACTGTTCAATCAGTTACAGTCATCCTTCTTGATCATCAAATTACTTCTAATTTGGCCAGTGGAGCCCCTCCAAGCTAGCTGCTGTGTTCTTTCATTGCCCTTCAATCTGAGCATTTCCTTGGTTTCCTATCCAGGAGGCCCCAGGCTCACTGTGGATGCCTCAGGACCCCAAATCACCAGCTATTCCTCCACAGAGTTTCCGTTCCCTTGGTGGCAATGCTAGGCACAGAATCTACTGATCACTATACTGGTAACACTTTTTTAAATATTTATTTTTCAGTTTTCAGTGGACACAACATCTTTATTTTATGTGGTGCTGAGGATCGAACCCAGAGCCCCGCGCATGCCAGGCGAGCGCGTTACTGTTTGAGCCACATCCCCAGCCCTGGTAACACTTTTTAAAGGCCCTGTCAATGAACAGATGTGGAAATAATTTTTTTAAGTTTCCAACTCATATTTATCACTACGGAGAGTTTTCCCTGAAGAATTGGAGTTCTTGTCACCTCTTAAACTGGAATTTTTGGCTCTTTTTTGCTTCATCCTAAAATATACACAAAATAGGTTAAAAATAGCATCAATATTACTACCATGGAAATTAATGAGTGACATTATCATTTTCTTTGACCCTTCTTGTTCCTGAAAAATGTTCCAACTAAGGATGTATAGTTATGATACTGTGTTCAAAAGTCTCTGATAATTTCTGTGTGGTTGATTTACCCATGTGAAATAACCTTGAGTATTCTCTTCATTTTCAATTTTAAAGCCTGCTTTTATTTCCTTTTGCACATATAAATAATCATTTTCAAAAGTCAAAACTTCATAAAAAGGTATACGTATACATACACATGTCCCCTCAACTCTTACATAAAAGATAACAAGCTACATATAGTTTCTTATATTTTGCTTTCCTCAGTTTAATAATATGCTGTGGTACAGTACTCAAATTTGTCAAATGTCACTCAATGCATATTGCACTGTTAAGCTACAAAGAAGCATTGGTGGCATCAGTGTGGGAAGTCTGTCCTAACAGTTATTAAGCTGTGGGGTAACATTTTTCACTGGCAACTGCACTGAGTTTCACCATGAAAACCAAAGGTACACAACATAAGCATGCTACCTACTCACATTCAGAAGCCCTACTCACCTCAGGTCCTCTTCAAATAACTGCTGCTTGCTGCAGCAACTTGTGTTTTTCAAAAACCTTTATCATCCAAAGATTAGACACATCTTACATCATATTTTCAAAATTTGGAATCAAGTCTGAAACATGACTTCAGCATTACATTTCCAGAAGCATCAGGAGTGCCCATCACCTAAATTAATAATGTTCCCTTAGTGTTTTTCTATTTACTTTTTCTATTTAGTTTGATTACTTTGGAGCTTATGTGCATATGAAATGCCCACACAATTTCACACCCATATCAGTTACCTGATGTGCAGTAAGCTGTGACCATAAAAGGCTTTACACTTTCACTGTTCACTTTTCCCCGTGCCTTCTCTGCAATGTGCACTTGATATGTTGGTGGATACTAATGTACACAGGATGTCTCAGGGCGCTCTCCCATTTGAGTCCTCTGACATTTAGTTAAGACATGACACAAAGTCTTCCCATATTCATTTTGTAGAGAGTCACCTAGCCTGTCTCCCTTATGCTGAAGACTGAAGTTACACATGAGGGCTGCCACGTGATTACATTCACGTCACCTCCAGCAAGTCCTCCTGGTGCGACAAAGTCTGACTCCACACAGGAGGAAGCGATACATTTATTAAAATTCAGGGTGTCATTCTCCTGTGAATCACCTGATGACTAGTGAGAGCTGCCTTCTTGCAGAAGGCTTTCCCACATTTATTACATGCATAGGGCTTCTCCCCTGTGTGTCCCTGTTGATGAACTGTGAGGGCCGATTTCATACCAAAGGATTTCCCACATGTACTACATATATAAGGCTTCTCCCCGGTGTGAGTCCGCTGGTGGTTGATGAGGTTTGACTTCACATAAAAAGCCTTTCCACATTCATAACATTCAAAGGGTTGTTTCCCTGAGTGAGTTCTCTGATGTACAGTGAGGTGTGATTTCATACAGAAAGACTTGTCACATTCACTACATTTGTAGGGTTTCTCATCCGAGTGAATTCTCTGATGTATGGTTAAGGCTGACTTATAGCAGAAGGATTTCCCACATTCATTACACTCATGGGGTTTCTCCCCAGTGTGTGTTCGCTGGTGTTCAATGAGGTGTGACTTCTGGAAGAAGGTTTTCCCACATTCCTTACATTCATAGGGCTTCTCTCCTGTGTGTGTCCGATGGTGTTTAGTGAGGTGTGACTTCTGGAAGAAGGCTTTCCCACACTGTTTACAATCATAGGGCTTCTCGCCTGTGTGTATTCTCTGATGTTGACTGAGGGCTGACTTCATATAGAAGGATTTCCCACAGTCATTACATTTGTAAGGTTTCTCCCCTGTATGAGTTCTCTTATGTACAGTTAGGGTTGACTTGTGGCGAAAGGCTTTCTGACACTCGTTACATTTGTAAGGTCTCTCCTCTGAGTGCGTCCTCTGATGATCGGTGAGGTTTGACTTCATGGTAAAGGCTTTCCCACATTCACCACATACATGGGGTTTCTTTCCTGTGTGATTCCTCTGATGGATATTAAGGTGAGACTTCACGTAGAATGACTTTTCACATTCATTACATTTGTAAGGTTTCTCTCCAGTGTGAGTTCTCTGGTGTATAATGAGGGTGGATTTCATATGAAAAGACTTCCCACATTCAGAACATTCATGTGGTTTCTCCCCGCTGTGAGTTCTCTGATGTTTAGTAAGAGCTGACTTTTTGTAAAAGGATTTCTCACACTCATTGCATTTGTAAGGTTTCTCCCCTGTGTGGGTCCGATGGTGTACAACAAGGATTGAATTCATAGAGAAAGATTTGCCACACTCATTACATGTATAGGGTTTCTCTCCTGTGTGAATTTTCTGGTGTTTAGTGAGATTTGACTTCACACAAAAGGTTTTCCCACACTCATTACAGTCGTAGGGTTTCTTCCCTGTGTGAGTTACCTGATGTATAATCAGGGCTGACTTATAGCAGAAGGATTTCTCACACTCAGTACATTTGTAAGGCTTCTCTTCTCTGTGCTTCCCCTGATGGACATGTAGGGCTGACTTATAGTAAAAAGACTTCCCACACTCAGTACATGTGTAGGGTTTTTCCCCTGTGTGGGTTCTCTGATGGTCAGCAAATTGTGACTTCTGGAAGAAGGTTTTCTCGCATTCGCTACACTTGAAAGGCTTCTCCCCCGTGTGTGTCTTCTGGTGTTTGGTGAGGTTTGACTTCACAGAGAAGGACTTCCCACATTCCTGACATTCAAAGGGCTTCTCTCCTGTGTGGATTCTTTGATGATGAGTGAAGTTAGACTTGGCATAGAAGGACTTCCCACACTCATGGCACTTATAGGGCTTCTCTCCCGTATGGATCCGCTGATGGACTTTGAGGGCTGAGCGATAGTGGAAAGGTTTCCCACAGTCATCACACACATACAGCTTCTTTCCTGGCTGTGTCCCCTGCTGGTCCCCAAGAGGGGACTTCACAGGGGCTTTTCCACGTGCCTTCTGTTCACGGCGTTTCTGTCTTCGGTTAGTTCTCTTCGAGTCAGTGAGCTGTGATTTCTGGAAGGTTTTCCCACGTTTACTACTTTTATGAGGTTTCTCTTGTGTATGGGTCCTCTGATGGTTAGTAAGTTGGGACTCCTGGCGAAAAGATTTCTTGCAACGACTGCATTCAAAGGTGTTCTCCCCTGTGCCAGTTCCAGGAGCTTGAGTGAGATGGGGCTCCTTGCTGGCACCCTCATTTTCACTGGCTTCCTGGGTTTTCTCCTCCATGTTAACTTGCTGGTCCTCACAAACCACTGACTTCTCACACCCATTAACTTCAGAGCCATCTGTCCTCGTCTGACATTCTTGAGGGATGTCAGGGACTGACTTGGCACTGGTACTTCCTGTGGGTTCCTTGTGGTCACAGGGCTTCTCTCCTGCCTCTGTCGTCTGGGGTGAGGTGGTGGCTGCCTGCTCAGGGACAGCTTCTCCACCATCATTATCTTCCAAAGGTGGTCCCACAGCTTGAACTTCCTGTTGCTCAGTAAGACCCTCATTACCACCCAGAGATTCCTCACCGTGGTTACACGCATCAGACTTCTGCTCAGTCTGATTGTTTTCTTGCTCACAGCCAAGAGGCAACTTCCCATGTTCAGTGAGTGCACTGGAGTTCCTACTTGAATCATTTTTATCAGTAACACTTGATTCTGAAATACATTTCACACTCGCTCCATGTGAGTCATTTTCACAGGGTGTTTTTCCTGAAGAAACAGGGTTTGTGTCCTGATTAAGTGTGTTTCCACAAATGTTCTCTCTCTTCTTACACAGTGTGTTGTCGTGTAGGAGGGACGCACAGCACAAGTGTTCGTCTGGGTTTTCCTGGCTTCTCTTTACCAGATCACTTAGCTTCTGGGCTTCTAGAAATGAGAAAAAATTAAGTGTACATTAAAAACATTAACACATATCCACAAAAGTGACTTGTTATATCACTGAATCCCTATTTTCAGGCCCAGACTCCTGGGATGAAATCCCATGGCTTACATTTCTCTTTGGTTTAGAAAAATATAAGACACACCTGCTACAGTGGAAGTGGGTGAGTAAAACTAGCAATGAATACACATATATTTGCAATTTGAAAAATATGACCTGCAAAACAGAAAAGAGAAGGGGAAATTAAATAGTGAGCTGAGGGCTGAGCACATCCGAGAAACCCACAAAAAAAGGATAAGCACAAGAGGTGCAGTGAGAAGGGCGTCCTGGAGAAGGACCTCAGGGCAGCTTAGCTGAGGGGTAAGACATAACCCATAGAGCCCACTGTCCAGGTACCAACAGATGAATACATTTATGTAAGCAAGGTACCCTTACAAAAATCCACAATCAATACCTCCTAAATAATCAATCACTCCCAAACACAAGTCACAAGTCTGACACATAATTTTACCCCCAGGGCTTACTGTTCTGGCTTTTGCTCCACTAAAACTTACATACCCTCCAGAAAATGCGTGTCCATCTCTCTCTCTCACCTTTTTAAAATCAGGCCTCTTAGCCTGCATTTTCTTAAAAAAATTGGAAGCAGTCACTATGTACACTAACACAACTTTGGAAAGTATAAACTTTATCTCAATAGCACTTGATAAACAGTAAACTTCAAAATATTTCATACCATTTGTTTACTTGTCAGAATTATAACGTATGCTCCTAGCAGGTGTTACTATGCTCTCTCTAGTTGCCTTTGAACGGCTCTGAGTAGACACGTGGTCAGTGGTCCTCAACAAGCAATGTGCAATAGGGTTACTGGAAACTTTTATTCAAAACCTAGGGTATACTGTTACAGATGATATCAACCTATATTTTTATGACTTGGCATCTATGGGAATGTGATGTAGGCCTATGTACTCAAGAAATACTTTCTACATAAACATATCTATTAATGCAACAGAAGAACATATCAATTATATATTACACATAAAAAGAATAATAAAAGGAGACCCTTCAAATGGTGACTAAAGCCTCAGGTAATAAACATATGGATGTCATATGGATGTCATAGGATATGATCAAGTCTGAGTCTCCTGAAGCTCAGTAACCAAAAAAAGGGGGAGGGGACTTTATGAAGGGGAGATTAATTTTTTTGTTTTAAAATTTTTTAGTTGTAATTGGACACAACAACTTTATTCTATTTATTTATTTTTATGTGGTGCTAAGGATCAAACCCAGAGCCTCGCACATGCTAGGCAAGCGCTCAACTGCTGGGCCACACAACCCCAGCCCAGAGATTAACGTTGACCAGAGTAATTAAGAAGCACTTCAAAACAAAGGTAAAGCTGGGTGCAGTGACGCACACCTGTAATCCCAGTGGAGGCAGGAGGATCACGAGTTCTAAGCCAGTCTCAGCAACTAAATGAGGCCCTAAGTGATTCAGCAAGACCCTGTCTCTAAATACAAAAAAGGGCTGGGGATGTGGCTCAGTGGTTAAGCACCCTAGTTTTAATCCTTGGTACTAAAAAAAACCCAAAAAACCAAATAAATAAAAAAGGTAAAAACTTTAGCACAAACAAGTCATGTGTAAAATAACACCTGGAACATCAATCACATCCAGGAGCAGTATGAGCCCTTTCTCACAGATCCAGACTGGCAAACCTCAAGAAGAAGAGGCGAGGATGTTGTAATAATTAGTAATACTGGGCTGGGGATGTGGCTTAAGTGGTAGCACGCTCACCTGGCATGCGCAGGGCTCTGGGTTCGATCTCAACACCACATAAAAATAAAAAATAAAGACATTGTGTCCACCTAAAACTAAAAAATAAATATTTTTTAAAATTTTTTTAAAAATTAGTAATACTTAGGAGGTCAGGTTATGTGGAACTTATAAGTTTTTGAGAGTAACAACAACAAAATGAACACAGACTGGTGTGGTGTTTGTGTTACGAGGAGGTGTCTTGAACTGGGCATGGTGGTGCACACCTGTAATCCCAGCAACTTGGAGGCTGAGACAGGAGAATTGAAAGTTCAAAACCAGCCTCAGCAACTTAGCAAGACCTTGTCAAAAAATAAAAAAGGGCTGGGGAGGTGGCTCTGTAGTTAAATGTCCTTGGGTTAAGTCTCCAGTACCTAAAAAAAAGAAAAAAAAAAGACACATAGTCCATAGAAATTCTGACAATTGGTAGCAATATTCTTTTGTTACTTGGAACTAATTTTGGTGAGAAGAAAATTATTTAACTCAATCCAAATTTAAAATTAAGTTGATACCCTGATTTTATCATCACACATTAAATGCATATATCAAATTATCTTACTGATGTGTATA